AATGAGGACCCATCTCTGCGTCATGTGATCAAGCTACCAAAGCACCCATTGGAGTAAGAAGCTGCTTAGCCTGTTAGCCCAGTTCAGCGACCCCAGTGAAGACTTTCTGAGGGAATCTGAACGAAGACAGTGTTTCCTACAGGCAGACCTGTGACCCTTAACTGCAAAACCCCTTGGCCCAGAACTGCAGTGTATCCAGTACTGATAATAATAAGCACACAGGTCCAGCAGCAGCACCAGATACCCTATATGAGGACTCGAAGAAGACCAGAGCATTCCCAGGATACATTTAGCCAGTCAGGTGACCTGGGGTGGCAGGCTGATTACATCTGCCTGTCCTCCATACACCGCTTCCTCCCGTCTCCTGTGTGCCGTAAATTAACCGGAGTATATAGCAGCTAGAAAAAAACCACAACAAAAACATCACGAATAACCCTGCAAACTTGCCACATTGTGGCAAGAGAAAAGCTTGGCTGCCTGCAGTGCATCTGCCTTTTTCGGTTCCTGTAGACAAGGCAGCTCTCTGGTTGTGCACTGCCTGGCCCAACGCTACCTGCGTTCCTTCTGAAAAGGACACTGTTTCCCCAAATAAAGAGCCCGTTCCCTTCCGAGCCCCGTGTCATGTGGTTCTGTTGACTGTCCCACCCAGAACAATGCTGATTTGGATTCTGTTTACTCTCAGTCTCGTGTCTCCACTGACCCGCTGTTTCAAACAAACTTAGCTCAAATGAAAACCCTTTCTGCATAAATGCCTTGCTAAAGAACACTGTTGAGCTCAAGGTCACAGTAGACCATGATTCCGTAGCCTACACTTTATGTTTATGTGTGCTGCCTGCGTTTGGGGGGGGGGGGTGCTTACCTGTAATGTTTCCCACTCTGATTGGTCGTGAAGGACTGGAGGTGACCTTTGTGCGGGTTGACCTCAAATGTTGATTGACAGAGTGACAGTCTGATATCATTAAGAAATGTCACTGAACGTCTCATTTGTGCAGAGAAAGAATCAGGTGACCTTTCTGGGGAGACGTGAGAGGAGAGGAAAACCTTATTGCAGCATTTTTTGAATACTTTTCTAATGGCAAATTGGGAATTAAAAAATTCAGACACTGTTAAACTGGAGCAAATGCAGCAGCATTTAGGGTGGAAAAAACTGCCTAGAGACTAACGTCTTGATGGCAAAGCCTATAGTGGGGAGCCCCCGCTGGATCGGTAAGGAAGAGCAGGCATGGGGGAGGAGAGTGTCTGAGCACCAGGCCGTCCCCCCCACCCCCCTTCCAGGTTATAAGTGCTCCATTTCGATGGCCGACGATCACTTACAGCCCCCCACCCCAGCTGCTAAACAATCACGCTAAATTTCATGCTAAATTTACCAAGGGGGACCCCCTCCCCCCCCCACAGTCACGAAAATTTACACAGGGCAACCCAATCCCCCCAGATCGAGCACCTGCCCTCGAAAAGTCTCTGCATAGCACTGAGACTGAGGAAAATTGTCATTCTACTGCTTATAACTAAGTGGTTTGAATGACGTGTTTTTCTACTACACAGCAAGAAATAGAATTCTGTACATCTGTAACGATAAAAAAGGAAAGACGACCATTAAAATTACACTCATTTAAAGTGATTCTTGTAAAACACACAGCTGGCGCACGACTGGTGCAGTAAAACGAAACTTCAAAAATCTCCATTGAATATTGATTTGCTATGTCACATGATCAATCGTCCATCATCCCCTCTGCTCAAAGGTCTCCCAGACCGCCTTGCATTCCTTGAGCATCAGTTTCTGAAAAGCTTAAAATTCAACAGGACATAATGTCCTTCCCAGTCGATAGGCTATGGGAGTTATAGGGGCTTTAAACTGTCAAACTGATGCAGTGATCAATGGACATGAAACAGCAAAGTCTATACCTACTTCTTCTGGAGATATGAAGCAATCCGCAGCATATCTTAAGAATATCTTGTGCTCCTCCGAGGAGCTGTTATAATTTGATCTATTTGAATGAAAATTGTGACTAAGATCTGCTTAAGCTACCAACATGATGATGGTTGCCATAGTGGTCCTTTAGATAGGAGGTGAACATCTTCTAGATGTTTGTATTGATAAAGTGGAAGGTCCTTGTGGCTTCTGATCCATATCAAAGTGGATCATATCAGAATCAGAATATGAGCATCTCTTGCATATTTATGACACAGCGTGTATGATGCTATATAAAATTCCTTCTGGAATAGATAACACAAGTGTAGTTATATAGCATTTTTCCCAATCCGGCCCTCCGGGTCCTCCAGTCAATCCGCATTTTTGCTCCCTCCCAGCCCTTGGTAGAGAGGGAGCGAAAACGTGGATGGGCTGCGTATCCCAGAGGACTGGTTTGGGAAACGCTGTCCTATAGGACATCATCCAAATCTCTCAGAGCCAGGTCTTCCAGATGTAAATATGCAAGGAATCAACCATTCCAGGAGCAAAGTAAGTCCAAAAACACCATCAGGACATGAATAACATCTTCATCACCAGCATTCCCGGCATTGCTAGACTGCCGATTACACAGTTGTTTTTGATGTAGTGTCTGTCACCGCATGCAGTTGTTCTGGATATAACAGCTGTCCCAGTAGACTATGGGACACGCCTACAGAATTCTAGGACCATAGTTCTAGCTTCTGTGTTTGGTTTGGTGACTTTGTGAGGAGTTGGCTTACTGGGAGATGCTATCTAATCCAGTACATCATGTTAGGTTCATGGTGTTAATTAGCCATCTCTCAGCTCATCAAATTCCCTTACCAAGGCAATGGAATGTGAGGGGAACAATGTAAAAGTCGCTATGATGGTGTTACACCATCTAAATGCAGTATTCATTCTTTTTCCCCTGCTTACCTGCAATGTATCATCTCAAAAAAGGCCCACAAACAATTCCTTGGATATATATCAGTTATATGGCACTTCATCAGTATCTGTGCTGGAGATGCAATCGAGAGCTTGCTGGTTACTTCAACGAAAAAATATACGGAATACCCGGGCCCAGCTCGACAGCTTGCCAAAAGGGACGCCGCACAATCGGAGCCTGTCAGCTTAGTATCGTTTTCCTGTTAGTTGATGAGAGAAAAGAAAGATTAAAAAGTAATACAAGAAGAATGAGGGAATTCGGTCCCACAGATGTGTATTCCGATACACTGAAGAGAGGCCTCCTGTGGCTTTCTGGGACACCGTGGTACCAGCATGTGCAGATGCTTGTATGTGTGACTCGACCGGCCATCAGGTTCTGTACCTGTGGCCCATTTGAGAGAGTACCTGGACAATGGCTGCTAATGCTAAGCTAATTCTCCGGGTGAGAGAGGGCTGGTGAGGTGTCTAGGTAATGGCTGCTAACGCTAAAGCTAACCGTCTGAGCAAGAGAGGGCCTGTGAGGTACCTAGGCGATGGCTGCTCGTGGTAAAGCTAACTGTATGCACGGGAGAAGGTCTGTGAGGTTTTTGGGCGATAGCCACTAGTACTGAAGCTTACCATCTGAACAGGAATTTAGGTAAAGGCTATTTGTGCTAAAGCTAGCCAACCAAGCAGGAGAGGGCCTGTGAGGTGTCTGGGCGATGGCCACTAGGACTGAAGCTTACCATGAGCGTGGGAGAAGGCTTGGGAGGTCAATGAGCAGGAGACCACCTTTTACCCTCCAGAAATTCTGTTTGGCCTTCAAAGGAACCAGACATCTAGTCCATTATTAACAATCATTTACAGTAATGAGAATGATTTTATGCAGGGAGACAAGTTAGTTTAGTATGTAACTGCATACTGCTTTTTAACCTTTGTTTCGTATACGTAATTAGTGTTGATGTCCATATTAGATGTTTTTATTGTATTGTTTTTTGGGTCCAGGCAAATAAGACTGATTGGCACAGCCCCGTGTAAGTATATAATATTGTGCATTTCAAAAGAAATTATTACATTCTTCATGGTAGTCTGATTCTTGACTTTTATGTGGAGTCTAAACGTGATTATTGAGGACAATGCGCCGTGATCCTGGGCAGGATTAGTGGTTAGGGCTGATGGGCAGGTATATATTCAGGACATGGGTCAGCTGGTAGGTAAAAACATGGACAGGAGTAGGAATCGGCTGTCTCTGAGTAATTCATCACTGGACAGAATCTCTGACCAGACCAGACAGTCTCATTTAATTCAGCGATCCAGTTAAATGTTTTGGGACAGGTTCTGGGCTGTTTAAACATCTCCAACGGGCTTATAAACACAGTTTCATTATGCCGGGCAGCTCTAAGGAGTCGCTCCATTGTTTTCACAACATCTACTTGTGTGTGAAGACAGTGTGGTCTCATGCTTACAGGCCAATAGCCTGCAAATTCTAAAAAGATTTACCCATCTGAAAATCTCCCTGTGAATTACTTACGCCCCTCTTTAAGCCGACTAGGCCTCGACTAAATCTGGAGTGACTAAGACGTTTGCTTTCTGCTCAGCCTTCTGTCTAGAGAGCAGAGGTGGAGATTTCAGGTCCAGAGAGTTCCAATCCGGACCAGGATTTTGTTTCAACCAACCAGTTGAGTATAAAGAGTCACAGTCACAGAATACTCAGCTGGTTGGTTGAAACAAAATCTTGGTCTGTATTGGTACTCTCTGGACCTGAAATCTCCACCTCTGTTAGAGAGCGTGGTAAACTTGGAAAGCACGGCCATTTTGGCTCCATCCAGCATCAGTCTGCCTTCCCATGATCAGCTTTTCCTGCACTGAGAAGTTCATACGCCAATATAGTAAAGCTGTAGAAGTCATTCATTGTGAACTTCTCAAGTCTCGGGAAAGCAAATAGAGCATCGGAGGAATTAATAAGTAATTAATTAAAAACAAGTGCATCTATTTAATGTTGAAGCTGCTCAGAAACGTCAATGTATCTCCATACAATTGAATTTGAGGATGAAACATTCCGCTTCTCCCCAGTAGGGGGACGGTTCAGCCCGTCTCCGCACAAGCCCAGCGTGTTACACATTGTGTGCTGCCTGTCCGCCCCCCACAGGGATCGCGCCTTGCTTAGCCGTCGACGATGAAGTGGAACCTGTTCAAAAAGAAGCCGGAAGCCATGAGGGCCCCGGAGCCCACCGGCGCTACCACCCTGACCGCGGCGCCCCCCCCAGCTGAGCCCACGGTCGCCGACAACTCCACCGAGCCCGGCGGCGCAATCAACAGGAAGGACTTCTTCGAGGAGATCAAGAACAAATTTGTCAACGAAATCGATAAGATACCACGTGAGTGTCCCTCCCCCCTCCCCCCACATTAATGCTAACCCCGTTTACTCGGCCCTGACGGGAACCTTCCGGAATCTGTCAGTCTGATTTATATTCCTCCCGCAAGCCTTTGACATTCAAATGAAACCCCCCCCCCTCCCCTGCTGCCTTCAGATTGATCTGAGGTGGGTGCAGTTAGACCCCCCCCCCCTCCCCTGAGGCCGCTCACCGGAATTAGATTTAGGCAAAACGGCCCCTGTTTACTGCATCTTCTCACCCCGGCTCGGCTGGGAGAATCCATTCCATGTGCGGGGGGTTGTGAGAATGCGGGGGGTTGTGAGAATGCTTAAATGCCTTGCGTGTGCCGCAGTGCCATCGTGGGCCCTCATCGCCATCGCTGTGGTGGCGGCCGTCCTCATCCTCACCTGCTGCTTCTGCATCGTCAAGAAGTGCTGCTGCAAGAAGAAGAGCAAGAAAAAAGGGAAGAAGGGAAAGGGAGACATAGGGATGAAGAACATCAAAGGCGGAGAGGTAGGGTCCCCGGAAACAGCCACGCTCCCCCCAGCCTGTCCAAAAGCCTCTTCTTCACCCCCACCCCCCCGCCCCCTCCACCAGCATCTGTGTTCATGCCTGACCTCCTAGGGTGTGGTTTCTGCCTGAGAGGATTAGGCCTCTTTGCCTACGATCGGAAGGTTGTTGGTTCGAGCCCTGTGCTTGGGAGAGTAGCCACATCTCCATGAGGCCCTTGATCCGGGCCCTTAACCCCCTGGCCTTCACTCTCATCTCTATGTGTGTGTGTCTTTAAAAAGGAGAGCATGATGGGATATGTGAAATCTAACAGATTCCAATGTACCTGAATAAACAGGAGAAAGTCGGAGGGGCTCAAAAAACATAATTGGATTGGGTTTGCAGCCCGATATGATATGCCTTCACGGGGCCCAAAATCTCTAGCGGCTCCCCGGTCTGTACAAATGGCCAAAAAAACCTTTGTTTCACTTTAATTAAACTGCCAGAGTGAAACAGAACCTAATGAGGAATAGCTGCCTCTGAATTCACGCTCCACACTCGCAGCGTGTTTGTACCAAAAGCTCAGGAGGTTCCTATCAAACAGCAGCCTCCAGGCGGCCCCTCTGCCAGAGTGCAAAGCCACAAACTAGCCCTTTGTTAACGCATCTCAGGTCAAGTGTGGCCTCTGTGCCTCGTCACAGCGCGCCCTGCTGGCTGAGAGTAGCGGCGGATTGCTCCTCAACCCCAATGTTCTTTCTAGCCATCTAAAATTCATAGGATGTGAATGATTTAACAGGTCACCTCTGAGAGTCGAGGTTCTCACAAAAACATACCTCTGCATACACCCCTGCACCTCCCCCCCCTCACCCCCCCCCGGGCTCTCCTCATTCCAGAACCCTGGGCTCTCCCATCTTCTTCTGACCAGATGTGCGATTACGTTCTATTGTGGTTTGGGACTCGTGAGAGAAATGACACCTTAAACTGCACGGATGTAGCGCACTTTCCAGTGAGACGTTTCTAATTAAAGTCGGGCTGCTCTGGAGAACGGAGAACGGGGGTTAATATTACTGCTGCAACAAAGTCAAGCGCACGATAGGCAATTACTGAATTAAAAGAGGTCGCTTTAGAATCCGGGGTGTTTTTTTCTCCAGTCAACAGCAGTAACTAAAACATTGTTAATTAAATAGCTGTAACATCCTCCCAGATATGTATACAGGCAGTTTTCGACTGACGTAAGAAATCTGTTCTACAAACCATTATGTATCAAATTTTACATAAATCAGATTTAACCTCCAGCAAAAAACACATAAGCCAAAAGTATACTATTAACTAGTAACCATGGCAGCTAAAAAATTGGTAATGAGATGATACATTTTACAATATTACAATAGTGACGAGAGACAATTTGTTATTAAATGCCAATTATAGCAATGAGTTCTTTCAATGTTGCTTGTTTCATAATTTAATTTTAAAAATAGGTATAATCTCCCCTATCTTTATGGACTAGCTAGTAAGACGATAGTAAAGATCACATATTAAATCAATGAAAAGATATAGTGTAAATTTACTTGTAGGTGTATTTTGCCTTTTTGCATTAGTGCTTCTGTAAACTCTATGTATCTTGTATATTTTTTTGCCTGAGTGGGATTTACGTAAGTCGACAGCTGCCTGTAAATATGACGGGGGCTTTGCGTGCGGGGACCCTGGGCTGTCATTTCTCCACGCCCCTCTTCACTGTTATTGTTACGGTGTTGTTTCTTCCTCCTGTGGTGTCCGTGAGTTCACCCTCTCCCTCTCTCTCTGCTCCTTTCCTCCTCCCGCTTTGTGTCTTGTGCGCGCGCCGCGTATCATGACTGTCGTTGGACCTCCTCGCTCTACGGTAGGTGGACGGCTCGTAGCGCCCCCCCCCTGGCAGCGCAGTGTAAGCTCAAATGCTGGGTGGAGGCGCGGGTGCTTGACAGCCTGTGTGGAGGGAGGGGGAGGGGAGGTGGTTCAGCTGCTTCTGCATTCCGTTCTTCGCGATGCACCGTTTGCCTGGGGAGGCCAAAGATGCCGGCCGGTGGGGGGGTTAAACTCTAAAACGTTCAACGGGCTAAAATGTTGTTTTTTGTTTTGGAAGACGAGCATCCAGTTTTCCACTGGAAAGTCACCCTGAGGTAGAAGGATGATGTGGACCACGTGGGTGGCCACCAAACTGCATGCTGAACTGGCATGGATTGTTCTCTGCTGAAATATGAGGGGCCTTACCAGACAATGATCTGTGAACGAGATTCCAGTGTCGATGTTACTTTGAAAAACCCTTCCTGAAATTCATTAAATATAGAGAATGGTTCTAATGGTTCCAACAGTGCTCCTTGAGCTGGTACTTGGGTTATCTAGCACTAGATCACCCTAGTTGTTCCTGTTCAGAGCAAGGGATGCACTACAGATTTTGGCCCCCATGAAAGAATATCATTGGGCCCCTAATCCAGAACAATCCAATTATTTTCCAAACATTTTAGGGCCCCTGTCAGTCAGGGACCCTTGGAATTGTCCTAACTCCCCCCCTCATAAGGCACCACTGGTTCTAAGCACAATTGGACCGCTAGCATCAAAGACCATAGACATAAAATTCTGGTTCTGCTGGAGACCCGTTCAAAGATTAGTCTTGGGAAAGCCACCCGCATTGGAGGTGATGGCACCCTGGGGAATGAGCAAACCCGATCCATACGGCACCCTCCATGCTGATCTGTCTAAACCAGGAGGCCCTTGGGGGGGGGACCCGCCCTGACTGAGGAAGGGGCGGATCGTGAGGCATGCCCCTGCTGGCGCAAGCCCGACCCCTGCTGGCGATGAACTTGAATGAATACGCAGTCCGCCTTCAGAAACATTCTGCATTGGGATGCATGGATCAGAAATGACCATATTTGCTTCCTTTCCAAAGTACTGAATGAAATCATCATGATCGCAGTTCATGAAATAACCACAAATTACCCACAATCCCCTGACTATACATATATATATGTCGCTTTAGCTGATATGAGATCATTATACCCCTCAATACCGCGGCATGCTTGCTTTTCCTCACTGCTTGGCCTATAAAAAGGCAAACCACTCGATACCCCGGAGAAAGCGTCTGACACAACCTTAGAGACTATTTACGGAATAATCTCCCCTATCAACTGCAGATCTCACCGTCAACCAGGTCAGTCTGACAGGCCTCTCCCACAAATCAAGTGTCCTGAGAATCAGAGTAAACAGACTCGATTCATCCTCAGAAACATTTCTTCCTTTTTTTTAAAAAAAAGGCAGATTCATTTTATTTCTGTTATTTCTGTATGTCTGTCAGCTGGGATTCTTTTTTATGGGCTTCCTTTTCTATTTAATTAAACCCATTCTGTCAGCATTGTTCCTTTATTCTTTTTGAAAATATTCGCAAACCATTAAAAAAGAAGGCTTCCATGTCTATTCTGGTATTGTAGGAAAAATGTCTTTTATTTTACAGTTAAAATTTACATTTTTCAACTCCCACCCCCCTCTCCCACATATAAATCTCACATATCGTGGTATTTCGTCAGATTTTGGTTGCTCAGCCCGAACAATGAAATGCCCATATTCTCAGCACATCTTATACCCCATTTTTCTAAAATTATCTTCCCCAGCATAGCATCAGGATGCCTTCGTTACACTCAAGCATTTAAACCACAAAGTCCTGCAGTGGCCCAAGACAGAGTGAAGCTTTGGTTCAGGGCTGATCTAACATCTTTCTGAGACGACCGCGTCGGTTTGCAAGCCAGAATGCTAAGTGCTGCCTGGTGGTTTTATCTGCTGCGTGATGTGTGAGCCCCAGGAGGCAGGGGTGGGAATCCCCTCCCCTCCTGACCTCTCACCCGCGGGCAATTGAAACACGTCCAATCAGCTGCCACTCCACTAAAATGACAGCAGAGGTCTGCCAATCAGAACTGAGGGCTGCCACTCTACAGAGGATGCGGTGTCATCGTGGCGATGTCGTTGTAGCATTATGGTATCGTTTGGTTCAGTTCAATCCACAGAGGACATTCTAAGATGATGGGTCACCTAGAAGCTACATACTTGATTAAATGAGATGAGATGAGGTGTGATGAAGAAATACAGCAGAAAATAACTTTGGTAGAAATTCGTAGGGAAGCATTGTATATTCAAAGGGAAGCAACATACATTAGTATGGCGGTATGATATACCCATTGGCTTTAGTACTTTAGTACTTCTGTCCAGACAACAAAGATTACATGAGCGTTTATGTTCATATTATATGCGCTAAGGAGCCACACAGAAACATGCATCGCCGAATGATGTCATTAGTCGCCAAGTCTGGATGCCCGGCCGTCAGGTAACGCTGGCCAACCGGACGCAGGTAGGTGCCGTGACTGACAGGTCCGAGGGGGACGGCATGCCTGGGTCGGGGTCTCCACGGCAACCATCCGGCCGAGCGGTTCGCCCACCAGCCTGCCTGTTTTCGCTGCTGCAGAAACTGCAGGACGATGATGATGACGACGACGTAGAGACGGGGATGACTGGGGATGAGAAGGAGGAGGAGGAGAAGAAGGACGAGAAGCTGGGCAAACTGCAGTACTCGCTGGATTATGATTTCCAGGATAACAAGGTCGGTCTGCCGGGGATGACGCATCACCGCTAAAGCGCTAAAGTTGGCGAAAAATGACCTGCCCCTAAGTTACACTTCAGATTCAGCTACATGCTGACTTCACAAAACAGCTTATATGACTCGTCTTAAGTGGTGAGCCTTACAAATGGAGATATTAAAAAGTCCTTCATAAAGTTAAATGTGAGCTCCAGTTATTGTATTGCTTACGAGGCAAAGCTTTATCCTCAGATCATAATTCAGATGAATTTCACGCACCAGCGCACGAGATGAATTGGATGTGATTTGGAAGTAACTGAAATATCGTCCTGTTCAGCTACAGATTCAAGGGTGTTTATCCATTAAGACACTGCTTGAGAGAATTAATTATATTTCAGGAAATGCTCGAAACGCTCGATATTCATATAAAATGGGTGGGGCAAATATTTAATTTGTATTTTAAGGGTAGAATAGAGGGAGTAACGAATCAGACTAATTAAAAATAAGAAGTGTAAAAGGAAATTCTGCGAAAAGGGAAAAAGGCTCTTCCCTATCTGTCATCTCGCAACCGTGAGGAACACGCACAGATTGCATTTCTTGGAGATTCTCCAGCAGAAGGGGATGATGGATTCCACGAGGGTTTTCCCCCAAGAAGGCAGTGACATAGAGGGTGGGGTGGCAGGGGGTGTAGCGAATCAAAAACATCCTCAAATGGAAAGCCGAAGCTTCTCCGGGCTGTGAGTTTTGGCATCATAAACCATTGGCTTGCATGGGGTTCCCAAGGTTTGGGGGCTCCCTATTGGCTAGAACGACGATTTTTTTTTGTAACCAATATTATGCAGTTAACAAGAGGTACAGTTTCCTCTCATAACGAGTGGCCTGGTACAGAAAGCCACAGCGCCACCACAGGGGATGAGCAGCAACAGCATCCCTGGGATCAGTGGTGGTGTTTACCACCACTCACACCATTTTAATGCATTCAAAACAATCATATCGCATATAATGCATTATAATGCATTATAGATGTTAGATTTAAGTAAAGTGATACCGAATTTAAAAACAATTAGCTTCAGCATCATGGAGTATCAGTTGATGGTTTAATCACAGCTGTATATAAGTAGCTAGCTGCCTTGTGAGGTGAAAGGAGCATTTCTGGGGATGTCAGTACCCCCCCAAAGGCCAGTCCTGTCCCTCACTGACTGATGTGTCTCCCCCCCCAAATAGCTGACCGTTGGCATTCTGCAAGCAGCAGATCTTATTTCCATGGACACGGGAGGCACCTCTGACCCCTATGTCAAGGTCTTCCTACTGCCCGACAAAAAGAAGAAGTACGACACCAAAGTGCACAAGAAGACGCTGAACCCTGTCTTCAATGAGACCTTCGTCTTCAAGGTGGGTCATCTGGCCTTTTCTTATACTCTGTTATCTCTGCTAACGGGACCTTATATATAATACCAGTCAAGAGTCTGGACACAGAAGATAACTACCCTAAGCACGCCTCAAGGTTCTGTAAGTTTGTGTGAACAAGGAACAAGACAGAGTGCAGCGACAGATGACCTGCGCCCCCCCCCCCACCCCACCCTCAATCCCCCAACCCCCCAATCCCCCAACCTAAACCCTACAGAGCTGGTTTGGGGTGAGTTGGATTGAATAGTAAGAGCAAGGTAGCCAAATTAGGCTCAGAACCTGTAGGAACTCCTTGAGGACTTTTGGAGAAGCATTCCGTGTGGCTACGTCTGGACGCAGGCTGTGAGAATGCCAAGAGTCTGCAATGCTGTCATCGAAGCACAAGGGGGCTATTTTGGAGAGTGTGAAATCTGAGAAAATGTTGAGATGCTGAACACTTCTCTTGGTCGTAGCAATATTTGATATCTATTACTTCATTGCCTTAAGGCCTTGTACTATAAGGTGATGCATTAAAAGCAGGCGTGTCCAGACTTTTGACTGCAATTGCTTGAATCGTGAGGCTTTTTACAGGGTGACACATACCAATATGCAGATTTCCAGCATTTGGCATGAAGATAAATAGCTTAACAATAGCTTAGTCCTAATGAATTGATTTACATTAATATAGGACTCAGAAGCCCACAGCGAGGTTCAGTTCATTACCTGTCATCACTGCTGCAGTGAGGCAGTGAGCTGAATCTACTGTAAAATACAGCAGGTGGGATTAACAGGTATCGACTAACTGGAAGCTTACTGAGGCACAGTCATTACCAGGAACATCATGCTTGTGACTGGGAGGTCACCAGTTCAAAGTGATTTCATCAGTGGGCAGTAGAAGGATCGAAATGCTCCAGGGACTGTCTATTTAGATGAAAGTGAAATTTTCAGTGTGTGATTTGGATCCGTAAGGCGAAGCTGCGAGTTCGCCGCGCGCTTCCTGTGTGACGCCCCCACGGCCGCCGTGGGCTAATGTTCCAGTGAAGGGCCATGACCGTCAAAGGGACTCTCTCGCACTGTGCCGAGTAGAGGACTCTTTATAAAAAGCGCGGGTTCTGCTTCTCCCGTGCTGATGCCGCCGTCTCGGAGGAGCTGATGACATAGCTCCTCCTACTGGGGCCTGTGGGTGCTGCGGACAGCCTCAGCTGGAAATGCTGGATCCGAGCTGTATTTTTAGGCCGATATTTCCCATCGTTCCTTGTCCGCCATCTTCGGGGAGCACTGAAAAGCAGCAGGAAATTATTAATCATTCTTTAGAATCTTTAGTTCTGCATTTCGCTTCCCAGAAACTTTCTCCCAGTTAATCCTTTAAATATCTCAGAATGCAGCTGTTTAATTATCCCAAAAAAAATGATGTAAACCTGGAAATGTCACACAGACAAAAACCCTTCTGAAAAATGTGGAAATAGTTTACGTTTAATCCAGATCAATCTGCCATAAGCAGACTCATAATTCCCTATGGAATAGGAGTGAATTAAATATAATTGCACAGATATGTTGAGATCTAAATATATGTGAATATTTATTAATCTAATTTAATTTAATAATTAAATATACTACTCAAAATCTGGGAGCAATTTTTTTACTATGTGTATCAGAGGAAAGCCTGCAACATGGGGGGAGCATGAACGCTCCACTCTCAGAGTTGGGGCCGGGATTTGAACCTTTAGCTTTAGAGATGGGAAGCGATCAAGTAACCTAATGTGTCAACCTAGAGAGGATGCCAAAGATAACATACTGGTGCAGATGAGAGAGCAGGCTCAGACAGTGTCCCTGGAGCAAAGGGGCTCTATGATTCTGCCGGGGGATTTGAACTAGCAACCTTTTGATCACAAGCACAGACCAAATCCCCAGAGCCACCCAATCCAAACCACCCTAAAATCTACATATTATGATACACATATATAAACAGGAGTGGCTTATCAAGCGCATTGCTGAAAATGTGAGCTGTCTGGTTTTTGGGGGATCTTGGAGGGCTTTAGGGGACAGCATTGATAGATGGATTTCACCGATTACACATCTTGGCAGAAATTGATTTAAATTCCGATATGTACCTCACTGAGGTCTATGATAAATTGACAATATAAGATAAAGTTAAAAAAAAACTTCTTAACAATTCACAGGTCCTAAGGGTTTGCATGCATGTAGGAATTAATCTCTGAATCAGGTCACTGGGATACCTTTAAATTATCACTGAAACGAGTTGAATTTTTTTTGAAAGGGCAGTACGTTTACCGTATTAACCCAATAAACTGGGGTCTTCATTTCTAGTCATTCTTGTTATTTGGGATACATCTATGTGGGTATTATGGTTCCGTTCAGTGTTCCTGAAAGCCTCACCGGCGCCCCCTGTCTGCCGCTGCTCCCCAGATTCCTTACCAGGAGTTGGGCGGTAAGACCCTGATCATGTCAGTGTATGACTTCGACCGCTTCTCCAAACACGACATCATCGGGGAGGTGAAGCTGCCCATGAACACGGTCGACCTGGGCCAGCCCATCGAGGAGTGGAAGGACCTGGAGAGTGCGGAAAAGGAGGAGGTAATACTTACAAGGTGCCGTTGTCCAGTATGGCCACCAGATGGCGCTGTGGTTCACATCGCAAGTTAACGTGCAAAGACGGGAACTGCTGTAGTACCGGTCATCAATCCGCTGTTTCCACTGCCAGAAGAATGTTTAAAAATATGAAACAATCAAACTGAATCAACTATTGGAAACTGATGCCTATTGGAAAATAAATTAAAGTACTTTCCTGACATTAATACAGTAATAAATATTTAATGAGCATTAAACTATAAAATATTCATATTCATACATAAACACAATGTTAACTGACAAAAGAAATAGCTCAGTGTCAGAATTAATGATGTGTCAATTATCTGGTTACTTTTTTTACCAGTTGCAATTAAAATAACAGTAACACATAATGGATATTTAGCATGTGATTTTGATAAACTATTAGACTGTTCACTTAATTTAAGGAGAGTCGGATGTAAAGATAATTAATATGAGTATTGAAGGAATAATTAGTCCAGAATGTCTGGTGACAGAATTAAAATGTCTTTTCAGTGCAACTTGGGGCAAACTTTACCACACTGATTTCTGATACATTGTGGGTGTTTTCTCAATATTCTTCTTCTTTTTTATTATTATTATTATTATTATTATTATTATTATTATTATGGAGCTGATGTAATTCATGCTAATCGTCCTCTCTCTCGTACTGCTACCCCTGTGTCATGAAGCCCGAGAAGCTGGGTGACATCTGCATCTCCCTGCGTTACGTTCCCACGGCCGGCAAACTCACCATCTGCATCCTGGAGGCCAAGAACCTGAAAAAGATGGATGTCGGGGGTCTGTCGGGTGAGGACCGTAGCCTCCTGCAGGGGGCGTAGTAGGAGTTTCCTCTTCGTGGAAATTGCGGCATGTAAACGCTCCTATTCGGACATCAGCAGGCAGGCAGTTACCCCAGGACCATGACAGATACCTTTGGTCCAGGTGAAATTTGTGAGGTGGGATTCAGCAGCCGACTGTCTGGAGCAGGACAGCAATGGAGAATGGCTCAAAACGCAGTGTCTGCAGTACGATCATCTAGATTATCCAGAGCCTACTGTGATAGCCTCACTCAAGCACATTGCTATGAAAAGCAACCTATTCATTTATTAAGAAATTACACGATTCCTAAAAACAAAGCACATTTGGTTTTATATGTTGAATTCATAGTATTTTAGTTTGTTCAGTTTAAATTTCCGAAGGTATCATGTTCTCCCTGAAATCCAGATCCCTACGTGAAGATCCACCTGCTGCAAAACGGCAAGAGGCTGAAAAAGAAGAAGACCACAGTGAAGAAGAACACCCTGAACCCCTACTATAACGAGTCCTTCAGCTTCGAGATCCCTCTGGAGCAGATGCAGGTACCTTCGAGTTCTCATGTGCCACACGGATCACTGCCACCTCCGGCTCTGTGGATCCTGAGCAGAGTTCAGCTCTTTAATGTTTTCAGTTGAGTAACCTGAACCCCGCAGTCTCCACGGTGAAGCAGGCTGAGTGAGTTACTTTACCTTTGGCAATCAAGTAAAACCCACTGCAGCTAATGGCTCATACTACGATTCTCGCTGAAGAGTCCTGGCATAGTACAGCATTGCCACAGGCTGCCCCCTAGTGGACAGCACCACAATATGAAATTTTACGACAAAAGTGTTTTTTTTTTATACAGTTGGGTAATGAAAATGTTAAATTGTTTATTTATTAAAATGTAATTTTAATAAAAGCAAACTTCAAAGAATAGCTTTCCTGGCAGGAAATATGATACAATCTTTTGTTGTGTGAGGTCAGCTATTCAGGCGTGCAATTTTTTTGTCCGCTAGAAAATTCAGGCTGTCGTCACGGTTCTGGACTACGACAAGATCGGCAAGAATGACGCCATCGGGAAGATCTTCGTGGGCAGCCAGGCCACGGGCACGGAGCTCCGGCATTGGTCGGACATGCTGGCCAACCCGCGCCGGCCCATCGCCCAGTGGCACCCGCTCAAGCCCGAGGAGGAAGTCGACGCCATCCTAGCGGGTCTGGCCGGCAAAAAGTAACCCCGCCCCCCACGCGCCCCTCCCAACACGCCACCCTCCCAATCTGCTAACCAGTTAACCTGACATTCCACACTGCATGAGATTTGTGGATCAACAGCCACAGCAGCCACAGTCAAATGAGCGACTAGCGGGAGATAAACACATTTTTTTGTTTACATCGAGTCCGGCAAGCAGGAAGAGGAAGTAACGATTCCCTTTGATGTGTTTGTGATGCATTCCATGATAGCAGGAGGCCGCACTGCGTGCTTTGGGGAGCAGATCACATGATCCCGTCTTTTTTCGGCTATGGCGACAAGCAAGCCCGAGCTTTTTAAAATAGTCACGCCAGCCCTCTGTCTGAGGGTCCACTCCTCAGTAAGCCGCAGGGGCAGCTTCGCTCAGCGCTTGGCCGGCTCCGCTTTCCTGTGTGTACATCCGCTGTCCGCTACGGGAAGGATAACAGTGGCAAATTCCACAGTGCAATTGGCTGTCATACCACCAAACATATAACAACATTACATTTTATTTATTTAGTAGACGCTTTTATCCAAAGCGACGTACATTTTCGAGAAAGCAGGACAGACAGTCCCTGGAACGATCGTTGGTTAAGGGCCTTGCTCAAGGGCCCAGTGATGACATCACTCTGCCGAGTCTGGGATTGGAACCGGCGACCTTCTGATCGCAGACACAGGAGCCACACACTGCCCCAACATCAAAATGTACAACTTTAACATCATGTTTATGGATGGAGGCACAGGTTTTGTATAGCACAGTGAAAACCTGAGCAGCGCACAGCTAAGATGATGTGTCCCTTTAACATCGTCCCAGCATTATGGTCCCTTATCAGCCTGGTGACGCCTCAGCTGATGTGGTGGCGTACGATCCCCGCGGGGTCACGGTTTCCAGCGAGTCACATATGCACCATACATTCTTGGGGTCAAGAAAATGGAAGATATGACACGAGCGAAACTGCCCCCTGTTCGATCTGCTGTTTGCCTGCAGTAGGCTGCGGCTTCTACATAATGTCTCTGTCTAAATAAATACAAACCCATCGTGACACATCAAAATCAGCGGATGGTAACGGTATCAAGTTTGTTAGCAGTATCTCTGATTATTTTAACGGGTTTTATTACTGAGATGGGTTCACAGTTAAGACCATCAGTTTTAACCAGTATAATGTTGTACACTCCATGGTAAATGTTGGTGTAAGAAAAGGCCATTTTGGCACCAATTTTTCAATGGAAAGAATTTATTACAATTTTATGTTTACGAATTTCAAGGGCATGTATTGAAACTGTTAATGAACACATAATAGAAACAAAATGAAAATTAATATTTCATATCTGATAGGAAAGGTAGCTGAAGCTACCAGGACTGGTACAGTGAAAAATAATGACGAGTGATGTGACCAACCAGTGTTAGTGTGACTTTCAAACCCATAACATTCAAATGTTCACAATACGGATATATTTTAATGTTTTATTTATTTATTGAAAGAAAAACAAAGTTTTATAAGAGGTAATATTTTAATGTTGAGCTGATTTATTTGGTATTGGTTGTTAGGTGGCCAAAGTTACCAGGTGCCTTCAGAAAGGACAGAGACTACATCTGATAGGTCAGGCAGGTCATGTGATCAGCAGAGAAGCAACTACTTTGGGCTTCTTTATAATCCCTTATGAGTCTTAACTTTTTTAGGTTCATTTTTAGCATGAATTAGGGAACTGTGTCTTCCACAACTGGTTGGGATGTTGTTCTGAACCTCTTTGTAAAGGTCCAGACTCTAAGGACCCTGCAAACCTGGTTTGCTAGTTGTCTGTCCTACTGCCTGCAAGCTACCACCTCCTGTTTCACTGTCTGCAGTTCTCCTGGCCGAAGCTTAAGTGGTAATTCATTACGTAATTGTTGATTTAGTAACAGAAAAAGTGTAGCAAGCTTTCAATACAAAAATGAAATTCAAAAAATATAATTTTAACAGCCATGAAGTCCTGCCAGTCGGCCTGTTGGCTTTGCTTCGCTTTTTACTTTTACATTAAATGTGTCACTCGAGCACTTTATAATAAACAATGGGTTGTATGTTAGACTTACTTTTAGAAGAATTTTAAGCTTTAAAAATTTTGTAGTGGACTGGATTTTTACCTATTTTTTGTTGCCGTTTTTATCATCCATTGTGACAACATTTATATGTTTTGTATTTAATTCATGTTAAATTTTGATTTATTCGATCAGTGCATATTTTTGTCAAATATGTATTAATTCAGGAAGTCCCTGGGGTTCATAAACCAAACAATGTAACTTCACAGACGCATAAGAAATTATAAAGCATCGAAAAGTGCAAAAAATATAGATGCATAAATGTTCTTACCCTTCGTCTGAAGTCGCATCTCAAATGCCACGTTGAAAAATGTTTCATTTTGTATGTTATTTGTAAATTTGATTCTCTAAATGTAATTCATGAACAATCTATAAACATCATTGGGTATTTTCTGCTGTGGCGCTTTTCAGCACCACTCAAATTACACAACTGCCCCCACTGGCTAAAAACAGTCACTGCACTTTACAAACGTAATAATTTGTAGAGAAAAAAAATATTAGTATCAAGTACATTGGTTGAAAGGAAATAATGCTAAAACAAGGTGGTAATTGCACTGTTTGTAGTATATGTAACCTTGGGGACGCTTAACGTGACCCTCGTGTGTGGCCAGGGATTTCTTTGCTGACATTAGAATCTCCCTTTAAAACACAATTAAACTGCACCTTTAGCTGATCACATATTTACTGTCCAGGTTAGACAATTTACGTGCAATGCATGCATGAAACACCTCATACTGCATATGCCCTATCGTAATGTGCTGTATGGTTTTGTTTCTCTGTCATCAAAAGTTAGACAGTGAGGGTGTGTGTAAGGTGTGTGTGTGTGTGTATATATATACACACACACACACACACAGTCACACACACACACAGAGTTCAAGTCGGAATTCTGGACACACCTACTGAAAATTATTTGTTTTTTTAAAAGATAACTACCACAAGCACATCTCAAGGTTAAGTTAGTGTGAAAAAGGAACAAGACAGAGTGCAGCGACAGATGACCTGTACCCCCCCCCCCCAATCCCCCAACCTAAACCCTACAGAGCTGGTTTGGGGTGAGTTGGATTGAATAGTAAGAGCAAGGTGGCCAAATTAGGCTCAGAACCTGTAGGAACTCCTTGAGGACTTTTGGAGAAGCATTCCATGTGGCTACATCTGGACGCAGGCTGTGAGAATGCCAAGAGTCTGCAATGCTGTCATCGAAGCACAAGGGGGCTATTTTGGAGAGTGTGAAATCTGAGAAAATGTCGAACACTTCTCTTGGTCGTAGCAATATTTGATATCTATTACTTCATTGCCTTAAGGCCTTTTATTATAAGATGAATAACATAGCTAATATATAGAGTAATGGACTAATGCATTAAGAAAGTGGGTATGTCCAGACTTTTGACTGGTACTATGTATGTATGCATGTATGTATGTATGTCCTTTTTTATATATACACGACATGTATACATATATATATATACACATATATAATATTGGTGTTATAAATCAGGGGCAACTTTTGTGTTTTTTCACCTCATCCATATCTAATAACAGGTATATCATATATCCGTGTTTGAAGAGCTTCGCACGCTACTCTGAGTAGGTGTACTTCTTTTCAGAGCAGTTTAATATCTAATATCTTAATAAAAACAACATTCCTCAATCGTCGGGACACAATTGTCGGGATCAAAGATCAAGAGACTTTATCGCTGTTTCTTCTCCATTCCAAAATGCAGAGAAGGGACACTAAATGAGATTCTACACCATACATGCAATTGAACAATCCACTGGTGTGTAGTTTTGCCTATATATACATAAATCACATCTGTTAATATTGCATGTTTCTACGGAATATTGTAAATAGTAGCATGTTTTAAAGATGAAGCAAAAATGTATTGTGTACTGGTGTGCCATTTCTCATTTTAATAATAAAACGGGGGAGAGATGCATTCACTGTATATTTTCTAAACAAATTCTTGAATATTTTCCATGAATGGGTTTTGGAAAGAATGTGAAATGTAAATGATAAATAATAATATTGTTACTGATAATATAGGTCTACGCCTGAACTACATATGAACAGGATTGGTGTTTTGTGCCGTGTGTGGACTCATGCCGCCGCATGCTTGCTGTCTTTCTGTGCTCAGAACTTTATGTTCCGGTTTGTTCTTTACTTTTTAATATCCATGTTAATTTGTCCATTTGGCGCAGTATCCGATGGACATGCCGTTGTACTTCCTGATTGGGGCTGGGGTCCAGTTTAAAGTAAGAAGACACTCCTTGAAGCTGTTGAACATTTCAGCTCACGTAATTTTTTGATATATATTTTATTTATTTGTTTGTTTGTTCAGAGCCCTCTGTTATTCTAATTACCTTTCTTGTTGCTGTGTTTTCTGTGGGATACTTGATTACCTGTGGCACAGGTCACATTTTACTGCATCTGACTAAAGTATACGTTTGTACGTGTGTGTGTCGGGATTGCTAATTAACAAAAGCCATATGACCTAAGCACTAACAGCTCTGTAGAGAACGCCAGACAAATCTAGCTCTGTGAATAGCCCTGCATTCTTCTCTCTGTGTCCATCTTGCCTTTCCGTCCATTACACTTCACACATTCTTTTTTCAGTACAATTTTGAAATATTTTGAAGCTTTTTCACTTTTGTACTCTGGAAGTGTCACTTTTTTGCATCATGTTTAAAAAGATAATGCAAAGTAATTGTTAATTTCTTTTCATTTATCTTCATCTCCTGCTGCTTTAATTTTGAGAAAGATCGTGTAAGTTCTTAATTGATGGCATGGAAGATGTTAAGTCTGTATATTTTTGGGCCATGTGCAATTTATATCCAGTTCTCTCCAGTTTATATCCTATTTAAACTACTTTAAAAGGCGTTACACTATACATTAGGAGTATAAGTGCATTTTATGGAACTTAAACTGTTCCTTTGTTAATGCCATATACAATATTTCATTGTGAAGGTGACCTTCATGAATTGTAACAAATGAGGTAACTAATTAAGTTATAATGTGTTAGGATTCCTCCCAAGAACACAGTGTTTCTTAACCTGGTCCTCGGGAACCACCCCCCCAACAGTCCACATTTTTTTCCCCAAGGACCAGTTTGAGAAACACTGCAATAACATAAGATGTGAATATTTAAAAATATTTTTATTTCACTCAGATAAATTCTTCAGCAAATTATGATTATAGTGATCAAATAAATGATCATGTTTCATTGAGTGTAATGTCTTTCTGACAGACTTTAATATTAGGGGGTTTATTCATTCAGGGAACTCCAGGTTGCCCAGATAATGATTCTCATTCTGTCTCATTTCCGTGGGTCATGAACACTGTACTTCCAATTAGGGATAAACCAAGAGCATGATCTTTATCCATATCACTACATTTGATTTACCTGTTTCTGTTTACATGCACAGGGTGGGGAGGGGGGGTTGCCCCACATTCCCTTTGCATTAACCTCTGAGCGCATAGTGATTGATCCATCACTGTTAAGTGTCAATTTGGGAATGAAGACCGCATCAGGACCAAATTAAGGGGACTCTACACCTTCTGCACGCTCACACACCACTGAAAGGCTCTGAGGGGGAAAGGAGCCAGACCTGCTGTCCCCTAGGGGCGTCTGTGGTGGGCCTGAGGATATGCATGGTGTCTTGTCCTAAACCTGGTGCGACCCAGCATGGTGGGGATCTCCACGTTTCTTGGCTTCTCCTGGCCCTAAATCACGCCTCTCCTCGTCCTCCTCCGCCGCCTCCTCGGTGCACAGAACTGTCCCATACTGCTTATCTGCTCCATCACTACCCTCCCAGATTTGTCCTCCTCGGTGAAAAGCAAAGGGACAGGGCTCCATCTTCTGCTTGGTTTTCTTCCCGTCCTCAGTGTCGTGATGTCATGTCAGTATTTGTACCTTCTGTGGATCGCATGCTATCTCCCTGGCGCAGGGACACTTTGCAGAACATTGCTCCCACAAGCCTGGTATTACAGGACATCAGTACGACGGCCATCTTTGACGAGACTCAAAGGGAACCAAATATGAAATATCTCAATAAGAATTACCATGTGTGTTACCAGCTCTGTACTAAACACATAGGAAATAAAAGCCTTTTAATTACCTTTGGCTGTGGCTGATTACTCCAAATACTTACGACTGAGCCTTTGCATATTTATTTTGTTGATCACCCTTTAATGTATTATTTCACCAGTGTCATTAATATTAATACTAATTATAACTAATGTCATTGATTAATACAAATTACTCTAATCACTGCTCAATACAGCCAACAAGGGAAAACAGGCTGGAACCATTCTTGGTCACTTAAAAATTAATAACATTTTCATTATAAAATTATGATGAAACACTAGCCCCTGGGCGAGGCCAGCGACATGTGGAGATGTTTTTACTGCCCGTGGGTCGCGGGGTTAACATTTTATGTTTAAATCTATAATGGATGAACAGACTTTTGCCAACAAATCTTTGAATTAATATTAAAAATATGTTAAATATGAAAAATGAACTAGCTCTTCTGATTTCTGCATGTCTTTCCACAAAAAAAAAGGTAAAAGTAAAACCTATTGTCTTCATGGGGCATGAAAATCATTTTAAAATGATGAAGCCCCGATTTGCCCCAACAGGGACAATAACTGCTCAGGCCAGAGCTAGCAGGTATTTTTCAGTACAGTGCAATACTGAGTGCGGCCACTGTGTGTCTCTGTATCCCAAGCACGCCGCGCTAAAGACCAATCAGAATCACGCGGGACAGTCCAGTCCTGCACCGTAAAAAGAGAGCAAATAAATAATGGGCTCAAAATTAAAGTGTTCTTTTTGAAAACCAGATATATTTAACAAAGCCCTATTTATCATAAAATATAGATCATATAAATCGTGATGTATACAGGTATAACAAAATGCATTCATATGTCCTCCTTTATTTTCATATAGAATACAGGCAAGTCATTCAGAAGGCTCACATAATCTATAGGGCACTGATCATATACAGTACTCTACAGTACTGTGTATTTGATATAGCTTATGACCCCGTTTGCCAATATGCAAACCACCATATAATTACTCAGAACTCAGGATACAAAACGCGCGACTGAAGGGGATTTGTGGTTGAATGAAACCAAATGAAATATTGGGTGTTACACGTCCCTGGTTCCTACGCCACACAGTGCCCAGCGGAACGAGTTATTCTCGCACGTTTTAGCTATGCTTAATGCATATTTAATGCGATCATGTATAATTTATATAGTCCGTAAAGCATTCAGGGGAAGAGGGAGAGATCGGCCAAGATATACCGGCAAACCCAGCACCAGTGCGGGTCCCGGACGAACCGACACTAAGGGCAGAGCATTTTATTCCCAGCCCCTCAGCAAAATGCATTTTACAGTCAGTATTATCCATCCTGAGCATTCATGATCTGAATCTTTACGTTTCATCTCCAAACTTTATTAAACTGGCTTGAATTATACATGTAATAGCGTGTAGCGCAACAACGTTGGTTTATAAAGAACTTTTTAAATGTGAAAATGTGGATTTTCCTATTATGGATGTGGCCTCCGCTGTCGTCCCTACTATATGTTTATACAGAAGATGAACATAATCTGTCAGTTGGATTACAAAACCAACGGTACCGTACTTTATCTACCGAGATGTATGGCTACAAAATTTACTGTTGTAAATAAATAAAGTGATCCCGTGAAGTAAAAAAAAAATGTAACCTTGTGCAACATTTCCATCTCATATAGCCTGTTAAAAGGCTGCTGCATTCAAACCCACTCGAGGAAAGTGTGCAGGAGACGTAAGCAATGGTTCTGTCATACTACAAACTCTGATGTGATTTAACAAAGATATTTGTTTGTGTGGGACTCGCAGGATATATAAATAAACTTAAGCACAAACACATACAGTAAAGGCGTGCTTGTGTGAGTGTGGCCGTGTACCTCCGGTGCGGAAACAAGTGTGGGTGTCTTAAAATGCAGGAGTGTGGCGAACCTGCACAACAGAGCCCCTGATCTGCCCGGTAAACATCCTTCCTCTGGAAAAGTCCACCACCGGCCTTGGCCGAGGAGCTGCTGCCGGCAGTCGTATGGGTGGGGCTCAAAGGATGAGTATGAGGATGAAGAGCAGTCCGGGGTGAATTTGGCGGCCACGTGGGGCGGTGTCTCACTTGGACAGCTTGCTGATGACCCTGATCAACGCCCCGTTCTCGTCCTTCAGCCTCTGATTGTCAGTCTTAAGCTCTGTTAGTACCTGTAGGAGACGAGTAAGGTGCAATTGCATCAGAGGGGCGGGTATTTACTGTTTCTCTTACTGATCTGTGTTATCAAAGAGTGAGAACGTGGGTAGGCTACATGCAGCGTGGGAAATACTGGACGCAAAATATTTATTGCGTATTCTTCATCTGCCCTGGTCCGGCTATTTGGGAGACAGACAAACCACTCTGTTTAATTACAAATTAAATGTATTTAATTATAGTTTAATTATAATTAAAGTCATCAGATGTGGGGGTTTTTTTGGATTATATTTTAGTTACTCATGGTTTGATTTAGTAAGTCATCTGGATTCAGTTCTTTCGTTAATGAATTGTGTAAGCACAATTATACAATTACGATATTCCGAGACCAGATTCTGAAATCTGAAGCAGTCAATAACAGAGACTGCAGCCGCCATCAGCTCCGTCTGTACCTCTGACAGGAGCAGCCCCCCGTTCCAGGCTGTATCAGACGTAAGGTTCTTCCACCATGGTTTACAATAACAAACAACATCGACGTGGTTTTTTTGAGGCTTTCTGAGGAATTTGCCTGTGAGACACAAGCCGTCTCTTTCCATAATGTGCGACACCCTTCAGAATCGGAATCTGGACATTTTTATTAACCTGGAAGAAACTGTTTTCCTCCACATGGGGAGCCAGCATTTAAATGACACAATAAGCAATGTGTACATACCTGCACCCCACAACGCTCAGTATATGATTAACACCCTTAACCCTAACCCTTATATATGATAGTACCTCCATACACATTTGTACAAAAAGTCCAGAGGAACAGCGGATCCTGAACATACCACAACTGTTTGGTTCTCATCGATTTGACCCACTCATTCTTTCTACATATATAAGGAAACTTTTTTTAAGGTATATTTTTATTTCTGTCCCGTGGAGTCGATGCAGATGTAAGTGAGTGGTTGCAGTGTGGAGCAGCGTGGGAATCGCTGAGCACGAGGAGGGATCTGCGGGAAACACCTGCCTGAGAGAAGCGCAGCACAGAGGAGGTGGGTGCAAGAGGAGGCCAAGGAGAGCAGGAGGAGGTATGCAGAGAGGGGCGGGGAGGGGGGCAGGCGGGCGGGCAAGGGGGCCAGGCAGCACGATGGACGGCTCAGAGGTCCTCCGTCTCAGGCAGGCAGGCTGCCGCTGAGAGCCGGCCGAGGACACGCAGCATGGCCCGGTTCTCCACCGAGAGGTGCTGGTTTGCTCGCCTCAGGGCCTGCAGCTGAGCCAGCTGGGGGAGGGCCTGGAGAAAGAGCAGGGGGAGTGCAGAGCGTCGAACCCCGCGGGGGGGCCCCGAGAGAAGACACACACGGCGAGAGTGAGAAGGCGTATCGTCAGGGGAGAGAGAGAGAGAGAGAGAGAGAGAAAGCAGCAGTTCTGACTGGAGGACAAGCAGAGTGAAGGACCGACCCTCAGGCAGAACCAGGAGGGCAGTGTCAGGCTGCCCCCTAGTGGTGGTGCAGTGCAAGACTGTTAATCACGCTGCCGGTCGGTCGCACAGGGCTCTTTCTGATGTGATGAAAAGTGAGATAGGTTGATCCAGCTGACACAGTTGGAAATGCCCCCCTGCCCCCCTTTCAGGTCTTAATTGACACCTCAAGGTGTATCTTTAAGGATGCCACAGAGCTTCAAGATATCCGCTGGCCTGGGAGTCTGAAGGAGGCGACTGAATCACTGTAATCAGGAGGAGCTGACTGCCTTTGTCAAGCCCTGCTCCAGTCTCTGAGCGATCCACTCTCTCCCTCACTCTGCGGAGGTCAGTGGTTAACCAACATATTACAGTGAGGCGCTTCAGTGAAATCGCTACGGAAACCACACCAAGCGAGCTGTGAAACCACACCAGGAAGCTGTGGCTGGCTGAGTCACCTGCCGAAGGATGCCTTTCATTCTCAGTGATTTATAAATGCTGTGGTCATACTAGAGGCACTATACTGTATATGCTACATGCAGTACTAATCTGTAGTACAATATCTACTACACATTACAGACACTACACATACTACACACAATACTGATCTGTATACTGCAGGCATTATAAAATTACACATAATACTAAGCTGTATACTATAGACACTATAAAACTACACATTATACTAAGCCCTATACTATAGGCACTATAAAGACCACACATAATACTACGCTCTATACTATAGGTACTATATATACTACAAATTATAGTAAGCTCTATACTATAGGCACTATAAAGACCACACATAATAGTACGCTCTATACTATAGGTACTATATATACTACACATTATAGTAAGCTCTATACTATAGGCACTATAAAGACCACACATAATAGTACGTTCTATACTATAGGTACTACAGTATATATACTACACATTATAGTAAGCCGTATAACGTGTTATGTTTCCATGAATGTACTGACAGCAGAGCAGCCCATCTGAGGCAGTCAGTGCAGTGATTAACACACCTGCACAGTGATTAACACACCTGCGCAGTGATTAACACAACTGCGCAGTGATTAACACAACTGCGCAGTGATTAACACAACTGCACAGTGATTTAACTCCTTGCCTCACTCTGCAGACGCTCAAATGGGCCTCCCAAAAATTTCTAATGCTAATGCAACCCCCCCCCTCCCCCTGCCCCGTCACAGTAAAATGAGCCACATACAAGGGTCATTTAGAAATGAAAGAGAGAGACGAGGTGTGTAGCATTTCCCAGCATCACCACAAACAGTGATGAACATGAATCCCCTGACTTCCTCACTCTTAACTATGATTGTTAACTTTAGCGTCTTTTATTCTATGCATGCAGAAAGTTGTTTAAAAACAGTAATGTGTGCAACATTTTCTTCTCTCCTTTTTTTAAGCCTGAAAGGCCAAACGGTGACAGAGACAGGAAAGACAATCACACTCAATTCGGTGCCGCTGTGGGGGTGTGGAGCACATGGGAAACTGGGCCAAACATGTCACAGTGGGCGCTGTGGAGTGAGATGCACGTGTCACCCCAGGCCCCCCCGCTCCCCCCCCCCAGCAGAATGGAGGACTCACCGGATCCCCCACCCCCCGCGTCAGCCTGGCCTGCCCTCATGGCTGATAGCCACAGCGAAATCTCACTGGGCCTTCCTGCCGAAGCAATGGGGGACAACAGGGGTGAGCCGCTTCCCAGCATGCATTGCCACTGGCGGTTAGATTTCTGCACGCTTCTGATTTAGTATGAATTCGGATTTGAAAAAGCCGGTTGGACTGAAAAATCCAGTGTAATGTTTCTTCCCCACATCAAACGCCACTGCAATCTGTAAGCCCCAATAACGATGTTAATATCAGCGTTGGATGTTATCCTCGTCACATGGTTTTTGATTAAACAGACGGTGTCTGGACACGGTGGACATTAAAGCTCAGCCTGGCTCCACTCAGAAATGTCTGCTGGAAGTAGGTCATGGTGCCTGTGGCCGTGCAGCTCTGCTTGGGGGGGGCGGGTTTGGGGGATGTAGGGCAAGCCCACCTGGGCTTGTTAAATTTGATTGGACCTTACCTTAAGTTCTTCTTCCATTTCTGATACCTTTTTCTCCAGGATCCGCTTCTCCTTTGGGAGGGAGACAAATTTCAGTCAATGCTTTTCCAGTTCTCATGAATGGCAGAGCTAGCAGATTCTCAGCGGCGGCTTTCCTTAACGACCCCCCCATGCTCCGGCGATCCGCTTCCGAGCCCCGACTCAGGCCCCCCACAGGAAACAGACGCATGCTGCGGTGGCCATGAACGCATGAACACATTGCAAGGTCAGCTGGGACACGCTGGACCAGGGAGCAAAGCCAAGAAGGGGTTCGAAAGGACACCCCCTAGAGGACGGGCAGGCAGCACAGGACGGGGAAATGAGAGACAGCGACCCGGGGAAAAAGAAAACGAGGACGGACTGAGTTCCAAGAAGAGAGAAGCAATGCCATAATGCCAAGTGTTTGGAACAGCGCATAAGGCAAGCGGTCACATGCTGCTCTAGTGCAGGCTCCAGCATCCCTACCCATAATGCTCTGAACAGGAAATGTCACCCGTACCCGTTTCTCTGATTCAAGCACACTGGACCTTTCAGATATTCTGTCCTGCTTCTGAAACAGAAAGGCATAAAGTTACCAGAGAAAGAAAGACATTTAAACAATAAAATTCCTTCAATGCAGCCTCTACCTTTTTTGTTCCATTACAATACTTTTTCCCCTCAGAATTCCAGGAAAGAAAGCATCATGGGGAATTATGTTGTCCTCCCCCCACCCCCTGCCCCCCCGCTGCCTCTCCTGAGGTAAACAGCCCCACTCTCTCCAGAAGTAAACACATCTCCATCAAGGGCGAGTTTGCTGTTCCTGGGGCCCTACTCACAAAGTCACTCTGCCAACCCCCCCCCCCC